TAAAATGTGTGTTTGCTAATACAGTACTGTACAGGTAATGCAGGTTAATACAGGTAGTGCAGTATGGAGGGAGAGGGGCAGAACAAATGGGGTGGAGGGAAGGAGGCAGGGTGAATGGGATGGGGGAAGGCAGGGTGAATGGGATGGCAGTAGGGAGCAGGGGGTGCATGGGATGGAGGTAGGGAGGCATGGGATGGAGGGAGAGGGGCAGGGAGGGAGGGAGGGAGAGAGGCAGGGCAAATGGGATGAAGGCCTGGCCCCCTGGGAAATTCGCTAACAAACTTTACCAAAGGCCACACCCAAGAACTTCAGATTAAGTACAATCCATGGTAGCTTCAGCCCCCATATAAGAGATCCTCTCTTTAAACACCTTTTGTAGTACCCTTAAAGTTGCACATAGACATCAATAAATGGAAAGTAGTGTGTGGTGCCCTGTACAGTACAGTGATGCCTTGGTTTTCGAATTTAATCAGTTCCCAGAGATGGGTCGAAACTGAAAATTTGCAACCCGAAACAAATTTTCCCATAAGATAATATGTACAAGTAATAACTTACCTTATAGGGAGCCGGTCGGCCGAGCGGACAGCACGCTGGACTTGTAATCCTGTAGTCCTGGGTTCGATCCCAGCGCCAGCGAGAAACAATGGGCAGAGTTTTTTTACCCTATGCCCCTGTTACCTAGCAGTAAAATAGGTACCTGGGTGTTAGTCAGCTGTCACGGGCTGCTTCCTGGGGGTGGAGGCCTGGTCGAGGACCGGGCCGCGGGGACACTAAAGCCCCAAAATCATCTCAAGATAACCTCAAGATACCTTTATTTGATGACGTGTTGGCGTATGGAAGACAGTAAGGAGGGGGGGGGGGTGAGGAGTAGGAGAGAGATGTTACTATTTGGAAGGGGAATTCCCTTCTAGTATAACATCAGGCAGTGATGACTTCTCTGGGGTACACTCTCTTACATTTTGCCTACATATCACTAGGACCTGGTTGTGGCTCACTGCTTGTTTTTCTCACTAAGAACCTTTCCATGGAGACTTTGTTTTTCTTCCTACATCTTAACACGTGTCTGTAGTGAGACATCACATTATTATTAAAAAGGTTAATGCAATGGTTTTAACCTGCTACAGCTTTATCTGGGCGAGTCTTTTCAGCAAAACTTTGCAGTTCTTCCCTTACATCACACGTTTTCTTAATGGGGAAGGGACATCCTCTTCTGCCTCTACTGACAACTATTTTTTATTTTGAACTCTACCACTGACTTTCTTGGGACCCATGGCATTGTATTTAATTATTACTTTTATGTTTAGAAATCAAAAAAGCTGAAAAACAATGAAATTCTGTACAAAGAATTAAAACACGATTGTCAATAGGCGGGAGGCACTGGTAAACTGAAGCACGGCCGTAAAAATTGAGTTCGAATTGGCCCGCCAAAAATCGTAAGGAGGGATGTTCGCTACCCGAGGTTCCACTGTAATTGTAAGGGGATTTGTATGCAAATTGTGGTCTCCACAATTAAGAACTGTCTTCTCCAACCAGTCAGATATAATTGAATCAAACAGCCACCAGCCCTGGCAATGCTGATGACACGTTGTACTGTAACTGTCTACAATCTTATTTCTACCACCACTTTACATAATATATAATAACTGGTATAACCTCTTGGCTGTTTAATGCTTAATCACTTGTATACTTTAAAACTGCTCTTATCAATAGTTTATATTTTACAAATATGTTGTACCCAGGCTTACAAGTTACATCTCTTGAATTTATAATTTGTTACGTCACAGTTCTTGCTGTTTATTATCAACAAAGCTCAAACCTGATCAAAACATCTATAAAGATTAACCATGGTCAGAACAGGCAGGGTGAACGGGATGGAGGGCGAGTCGGTCAGCTTTCGGAAGAGTCTGTTGGCGATTGTTGCTTTGATGATTGGGTCGGGGGTACAAGGCTTGTTGTCTGGTGATAGCTCTTCACCACAATCTTCGGGGTCACTGGTTCTGCTCTGGTTGGTGCCCTGTGTTGACCCTGTTTCCTTAGTCCTCCCCTGTCCCAAGACTTATATTTTGCAGGTCATTTGCAGCACAGTATCATCAAATCTAGCCAGCTGGCAGTCTACCCTCGGGCTCATGGTCACAAATATGCTGTGTGTGTGCTGTGTCTTCTCCAGCATGTCCTAGGTTGATTTTTGGGCTTGGGGTGGGGGGGGGTGAAGGGGGGTTGGCTTTCTAAGCCAACCCCCCTTCTTTCTAACAGTTCTGGCAGCCTGGTATTTAGTTTGTCCCTTGTCCGCAAGGATGACACAGTCGGTTATGCGTCACCTTGGGCTGTCTCCTGGTCTGGATTCTTTTCTTCACCCTAGTTAGTGCCACCCAGCATTTGAATGTAATGAAATGTCACTTTCTATATGAGCCCTGATGGCTCCTGACTCCCTTCCTCCCTGCCAGGTTAGTTGGTTTGTCGGTGTGCTGTTCATCAGCTCCAGATCTGGTAAGAAAGATGTTTATGTGAGGAAGTCGGGCTGCCTGGTGGTTGCGTTACATTCAAAAGTGCAATGAGTTTTGCACTTTTGAATGTTTCTCTTGTTCTGTGTGAATAGTTTGCAGAGTTGTTTGGGATGTTCCAGATTTGGTCTTTTATTAGCTTTTCCAGTTGTCTGTAAAACTACTGATTTTTTGGATGCTCTCCTGGTGTGGTGGTAAATTGTCACTTACCCTCTGCACATCTGTGAAGGGAGGGCCAGGTTTTGGCTCTGGTCCCTGATAGGTTTGATCGAGGACTAGGCCGCGGGATGTTAAGCCCCGAAAACACCTCAAGGCAACTTCCCAATGGGCCAAGCAGAACTCCCGCATTTGAGGAGACCAATTTACACGGAGCAATCTCGGTGAGATGGCTTCAGGGAGCCAATGGGGAACCTTCAGAACAACAAAGTATTGTACTGTCTTAAGTTCACTTACCCAGACTGTATAGGAAGGACCCCTTTCAGCCAGACATCTAGATACACAGAATTCTTACAAGGAAAAACCAAAAATGACAATCCAGTGTTTGCAATTTTTTGTACCACAGTCAACATAATTAAAATTTCCACACACACTATAAATCAAAAATATAATTTAAAACTGGAAGCTCTGCTTTCCTTGTTGTAGTTCCTCTTGTTTGATACTGTAGTTCTTGAAATTTGACTTAATCTCAGGTTATTGGAATTTCTGTCTGGATATACATGTAGCAAAATTTTGGCCAAAAATTATCCGGATTTGATTTTGGGCAGATAACCCAAATATTTGGTTCAGGGGGCTTCAGATAACTGAGCTTGTACTACCACGGATTCAAGAATTAGTATTTTGAATGCCCAAAAAAATATATAAATATTTGAACAAAACAGTTCTAGAATTTGTCCGAAAAGTACATAGTTTTGAAAGTTCAAATATTATTCAAGATGAATTTGATGTTGCTCTTGAGACAACACTTGAATTATGCAGTACAATTTTGGCACTGAATCTTTAGAATATACCGTAAGTTAATTATTCCTGCAAGTGGAACTCGATGCAAGGTGAGTATATTTACGAAGATAATCCCGAATACTAATCGAAGAAATTAATAATTTGCCAGTTGAAGTGATTTGGAAAACAGATTTTACGTTTAGAGAGTAACGGGGAACATGGTTCAAAGGTTTAACAAGGCCTGATTAGAGACCGGGCCACAGGGACTTTGACCTCTGGAATCGACGTAAGGTAACCGCCAGGATGACGTAAATGGGGTTTTCATATAGTGCCCCATATAGTTTTTATATAGTGTCTTGTGGCCGCCTTGTCAAGGCGCCTGAGAGCTGGGTGGATAGCGCTTCGGATTCGTAGTCCTGAGGTTCCGGGTTCGATCCCCGGTGGAGACAAATGGGCAAAATGTTTCTTTCACCCTGATGCCTCTGTTACCTAGCAGTAAATAGGTACCTGGGAGGTAGACAGCTGCTACGGGCTGCTTCCTAGGGGTGTGTAACAACAAGGAGGCCTGGTCGAGGACCGGGCCGCGGGGACGCTAAGCACCGAAATCATCTCAAGATAACCTCAAGCCCCAGGTTGCAAGAAATGGTAGATTTAAATTTAACACACAGATTTAGGAAAAAATAGGAAATCTTGGTTGGGAAATAATTTTAGATTTAGCTCTGTAGAAAAAGTTACTTTGTGATAAATAATTGAAGTAAAATTATTATGTTTAATTCATAAGTTGGATTAAAGCACAAGTTTGAATTTATAACCATTACAAATATAACCATTACTACTTTAACTATAACCACCACTTAAACCACCAAAACCATACATCTCAATACACCTACCATCATTACACCGCCAACATTGTAAACACAACTAGACTCTGCAGATGATGAGTCACAATAACGTGGCTAAAATATGGTGACCAGACCACACTAGAAAGTGAAGGGAAGACTTGAGAATGGTCCAGGATGGACCAAAACGTCGTCTCGTCCCTTCACTTTCTAGTGTGTGGTCTGGTCAACAACTACTCTCTCGCCAAAATATAACTTCCACTAACCATATCTATTACAAATACCACTTCAGCAGAATACAAGCTCAAAATCAGGTACAAAATAGTACTCACCAAAACACCGTAAACCCACCTTCCCATTGCCCCAAAAAGACAATCAAACCTCTTACTACCTTACCACCATAATAATTAATACCAATCACAACACGATTATTACAGTTGTGGTTTAGAAACCAAACCTGAACTGTAGAAAGTTGTGTAGTTATGTAAAAAAAAAAGAACCCTGTAATTCAGGTTCATTGTAGAAAGGAATATAGAGCTGTTGTAGTGTCAACATTGTTAATGTTGGCTCTGATTTTGGATTGCTTGTATGTGGGAATCTATTCTTAGATAATCATGTGTGCTTTTTGCTAATGTGCACAAGCTTAAATTATTGCTTATAACATTTATTTTCCACTGTTATTCTAAAATGTAAACCAATTATTAAGCTGTTTATTTCTTACGTCAACAGGGCTTGGTGGTCCAGGTGCGGGGGAGCCGTGGGACGGAAGGATTATGGCTGAACAGCAGTTCTGCCTACGGTGGAACAACTTCCAGGCCAATATTGTATCATCATTTGAAGCTCTTCTAGACAGAGAAGAATTTGTAGACGTAACACTTACAGCAGAAGGGAAGTCATTAAAAGCACACAGGGTACTCTTATCAGCATGCAGTCCGTACTTCAGAGACTTGTTTCGAGTGAGTATTTTTTTGCGTTTAAAATTTTCCTCTGCCACGCTAACATTTTTCAGCCACATTTTAAGGCTAAAATAATATTTACAATCCATTGTTGGATTGTAAATTGTGTGGCTGAAATATTCAGCCACGCTTTAAGGTTAAAATAATATTTACAATCCATTGTTGGATTGTAAATTGTGTGGCTGAAATATTCAGCCACGCTTTAAGGCTAAAATAATATTTACAATCCATTGTTGGATTGTAAATTGTGTGGCTGAAATATTCAGCCACGCTTTAAGGCTAAAATAATATTTACAATCCATTGTTGGATTGTAAATTGTGTGGCTGAAATATTCAGCCACGCTTTAAGGCTAAAATAATATTTACAATCCATTGTTGGATTGTAAATTGTGTGGCTGAAATATTCAGCCACGCTTGGTAAGGCTAAAATAATATTTACAATCCATTGTTGGATTGTAAATTGTGTGGCTGAAATATTCAGCCACGCTTTAAGGCTAAAATAATATTTACAATCCATTATTGGGTCTTTAGTCACTATCTGAAGTCAAGTGAAAATGGGGGTGTTACTATAGAGTATTTTCATTCACCTGTACTGTATTGTAGATTACAAAATCTTGATCTGGCAAACTATATGGAAGTGAACTGATTGAACTCTGATTCATTGGAGTGAAGTCCCATAAACAAATGAAAAGTACATCCATGGTATACTATGAATGAACTTTATCAGTCTCCGTGGTGTAGTGGTAACACTCGCCTGGCATTTCGCGAGCGCTTTGTCCTGGGTTCGTATCCTGGTCGGGGAGGATTGACTGGGCAGCAATCCTTAACTGTAGCTTCTGTGTTACCAAACAAAAAGGGGTACCCGGTTGTTAAATGATTTGGAGGGGTCGTATTCCGGGGAACATAAGATTAAGGACTTTCCCGAAATGCTATACGTGCTAGTGGCTGTACAAGAATGTAAGAACTCCTGTATATATAAATAAATAAATAAAAATAAAAACACAGTTGGTATGTGCTCGGTGTGGTACAGACGAAGTCTGGACACTAGTGAGATACCACAGGCACTTAAATCGACAGATAAAGCTCCACTCCACAAGGGAGGGAGCTAAGTTAGGGTTAAAAATTATTGACCGTTGCATTAACATCACACACAATTAAAGGTTTTCGAAGAGTCATTAGGAGTCAACTCTCCAGTTTCCTGGAGAACAATGAACATGACAAGTCAGGTCAATATGGATTTAGAATGGGAAGATCCTGTATTTTGTAACTATTTAATCACTATAACAAAGACATTAAAGAATTAGAATGAAAACAAAATGCAGTTGTTGCTTTGCAATAGCAAAGTATTTTTTTGTATTTTTGAGTTAATTTTTGTACAAATAATTTTGGAGAATGGGTTGAAGAAATTACATACTCAGCTGTGTGGGTGTGGAGGAATGGATGGATAAAGCTACCGCATTGACAGTTTTACTCGAGCCCCTTTTTCAGTTCACCACATTTTCACTTTAATGAACACCTGGAGGTAGGAAATATTCGGTAAATGCACAATACCACACCTCACGTGACTTACAGAACCTCTGCCAGGTATAGCATTAATTTCTTGGATAGATCAACAAGATGATGATTCCCTGTAGTCGCTGCATTTAATGAACACCTGGAGGTAGGAAATGTTCAGTAAATGCACAATACCACACCTCGCGTGGCTTACAGAACCTCTGCCAGGTATAGCATTAATTTCTTGGATAGATCAACAAGATGATGATTCCCTGTAGTCGTTGCTATTGATATCTCGTGATTTTTGTGACTATAGTGACATTTGGTGCTGGAGCTGCTAGTGATGTTGTTTTTAAGGCCATAATAAGAGCAGAAATGGCCAAGATGTCTAGGAACATTGATCAAGAAAAGTCAAAGCAATGACTTAAGATTTGTGTGGTTTAAGTATGTACTCTCAATACATCCATCCATGAACAGTACAGCAGTAAAGCCTTATATCATCGGGTATCTGTTCTCTCTGGTCTTAAAACTTTTTCTTGATGCATGAAGTACTAGAATGTTTAGTACCTTGTTTATAACAAATATTTTCTGTATAGTGACTACATATTTTTCTTTTTTTCAGGACATACCGGCTCATCAGCATCCAGTCATAGTGTTGCGTGATACAAGTTTTTTAGAATTAAAATCCTTATTGAGCTTCATATACCATGGAGAAGTTAATGTATCTCAAGAAAGATTGGGGCTCCTTCTCAAAACAGCTGAGGCACTTAGAATTAAAGGACTTGCTCAAGACAAGAGAACTAACGATATTGAACAGGTAAGCAAATTTCGTATACCACTTGCCCCTGGGCTGTGAAGTACCCTGGCATTGTAAGTAAAATAATAAATAAATAATAAATGCTTATTCAGGTAAAAGTACCTGTGGTCCCGGGTTTGATCCCAGGCGCCGGCGAGAAACATTGGCAGAGTTTCTTTCACCCTATGCCCCTGTTACCTAGCAGTAAAAATAGGTACCTGGGTGTTAGTCAGCTGTTACGGGCTGCTTCCTGGGGGTGGAGGCCTGGTCGAGGACCGGGCCGCGGAGACACTAAAGCCCCGAAATCATCTCAAGAAGACATAAAAGATTCATACAGTCTCCCTGTGGTGTAGTGGTAAGACACTCGCCTGGCGTTCCGCGAGCGCTATGTCATGGGTTCATATCCTGGCCGGGGAGGATTAACTGGGCGCAATTCCTTAACTGTAGCCTCTGTTTAACGCAACAGTAAAATGTGTACTTGGATGAAAAAACGATTCTTCGCGGTGGGGATCGTATTCCAGGGACCTGCCCGAAACGCTACGCGTACTAGTGACTGTACAAGAATGTAACAACTCTTGTATATATCAAAAAAAAAAAAAAAAAAAAAAAAAGGGGTTAGAAATAGAATGTTGGATTTCTAGATAGAGCTAGTACATACTATGCCTAAAGCCACTAATATGCACATCGTTTTGGGCAAAGTTGCTTGCTTTTGGCTGTAGTGAAGAGATCAAATCATGTGTTGACATCACAATTCATGATTTTCATGATGCAGGCATCCAGTTGGAGTTGTGTGGGACTTCCCATGACAATTGTCATGGGCTTCCCATGACAATAAAGAAATTAGTGAAAATACTGAGGTTACACTACAATCCTGTTTTCATTGAACCTTTTAAAAACACATTGCAGATCATTCATTGCTTCAAACGAATTCTTAATAAATGTGACGCCACCATCGAACCATTTATCAAAATTACCCTAAACCCACTTGACTGTGAAGTGAAATTGAAATAAGGTTATTGAGGTCAAATAAACACAAAGGGATGAGGTAGCTCAAGCTATTCTCATCCCGTTCAGTACATCGTGGTAATACATACATAGACACACATGACAATAAACATATTACTGAACATTCTGAGAGAGAAACATATACATTCCTCCTTTACGCAAGTAGTATGGTATCAGACGTACACACAAATACTAATGACTGTGAAGTAGCCATAGACAGCAAGCCCATGCACTCTGTGCACCAGGCCTGGACACCTGGAATTCTATATTCTTCAAGAATTAAAAAAAAAAACCCTTATCACAGGCCCTAAACATCTTTTGGAGATGGAGCCTAGATATTGGTGTTGTCGTTGATATGCTTAAAACAGTGGAGATCGCGCCACTTTACAAAGGAGGTAGTAAAGCTGATGTAAATTATTATTTACCAATAGTTCTAACACTGCACGTCATTAAAATCTTCGAAAGAGTGCTGAGGAGTAAGATCGCAAACACATGGAATTACCGTGTCTACATAACACAGGCTATTAGACCATTTCTAGAGGAGAGGAGAGCTTAAGAGGATATAATCACTACTTGCAAAATGTTGAGGGGGAATAGGCCAAGTGAAAAAGAACACCCTTTTAAAATTGAGAGAAATTAGAAGAAAAAGACATACATGGAGACAAATGAGCCAAATTAAGAACCTTACCTTGAGGTGCTTCCAGGGCTTAGCGTCCCCACGGCCCGGTCGTCGACCAGGCCTCCTAAAGAAGAAAGAAAGAAAGAAGACACATTTGAAACACTAGTAATAAACAAGTAGAATGTACTGAGAGGCGTCACAGCTTCATTCATTGGCATATCTGACAAATGGAACATAAAGAAATACATGAATATAAATACCCACATTAGGGGGTATTGGGTGGGCGGGGCCCATTGAACACCATACCACTATAAAAAAAACAACTGACCTCCACCAGAATTTACTCCTGGCTTCCTAAAGTAACTTGTGCTCATTGTATTAGCTTTGGGTCATTGTATGCTTTATTCTCATTGTAATAGTGTTCTATGTACTTACACCACTTCTCCAAGTCAAGAAATATCATAGCTAGGTTATATTGTGAAAATTATATTTTTATGAATTGTTGAATAATTTTCGGTAGGAGAGTGGCTCATCACTTGAGTAAGTTGGATAGGATACCATTTATACATTTTTTTTTATGGCAGGGCACATTTTATCCGCATCATTTTGGATGAAAGCTGCAATTGCACAGTACGTAATTTTCATTTTTAAAATGTAAAACTTCATTTTTCTCTCCTCAGTTTGGAAGCCTTAGCAGTAGTCCCGAGAAGGAGCCAGAAGAGAGCCTGGACAGAGGGGAGTGTCGTGGAGGGGGGCCTGGATCTCCTGCTTTAAGTCTTGCCTTCTCTGGGGTAGGCGGGTCGGTCCTGGCCTCCGTCAATCCTCTCGTTCCCCTGGAGCCACCAAGCCACAAGCCACCGCACCTTTTGCATTCACCACCGGCAAAGCGTCGCAAGCCTCTCCATTCACCACTCGGAGGGCCTCCTATACCCACACCACCAATTCAACGAGAGAATTCCATTTCACAAGCGCCGCCTGTTACCTCCACTGCCTCATTTGACGATGATAAATCTGGTAGAGTAATCAACTTGACTATGGGTGCCAACAACTCTGGCAGTGGAGGTTCGCCCTCTCCAAGGCTAATACCCAAGACTGAATTAAATTTATCCGAGGAGGACGGGCCAGGTAGAGGCAGCAGTGGTGGTGGGGGGGAGGGCAGTAGTGACCATGAGGTCGAGGAGCCGCACGAAGACGACTCCGTAGACCACGAATTGTCTAATACCACGGCTCCCGACCTGCATGGACTGCCACAACACCTCTCAGCAGCAGTACAAAACTTTGTGCCATACGCAGCAGCAGCAGCAGCAGCAGTAGGATCCTCGCAGCTGGAGACCTTCCCGGGGCCATCAGGTGAGTACAGGCATGTGCTGTTACCATCACCCAAGGTAATGCTAATATTGTACTAGTGGTTGAATTTGTGGAAGTAATTCAAAGACGGAAACCAGCTGTTTAATGTCAGTATTAACGTAAGCTCATGTTTAGTCCTATTATTACCTCTGGTGATGGTGTTTATCGTTTTATTCATTTAACGAACAACGGTGCTAACACAGCATGCTTTCCTAAAGGAAACATATTAAAAATAAACTTGGATTCTGGCAGTCTGTAATTCGGGGATGGCATATTTGGTTGTTTTAAATTCGTGATTAGGGGAAAGTCGTGATAAGTAAAGGTTCTGTGCATCCATAAATTAAAACCACAATTAACTGCAAAACTCTGTGCCACATAACCCTTAAAGTTAAAAGTTTAACAAATGGGTGATCCTTTAGGCAGTAATGGCCGTGGGAGGCAGACTCCATACACAGTTTCAAATGTAGATTTGATAGAACCCAGGAGGCTCGGGCATCTGTACACTAGTTGAGACGTGGGACCAAAGAGCCAAAGCTCAACCCCCACAAGCACAACTAGATGAGTACAGTACTTACAGTATTCAGTTATGCGGGTATAGACTTTTGTAACATTTAGACATGCGCAGATACATTTTTAAGTGAGAGGGAGAAGGGGCGGGGGAAAGAGAAGGGTGAATAGAAAGTGGGGGGAGTAAAAGAATGAGGAGGGGGGAAAGAGGCGGGGGAAAATAAAGAGAGGAAAGGGGGGGATAGAGAGGAAGAAGTGAGAGAGGAGGAAGAGAGATGGGACAAGAGGAGGAAGAGAGAGAGGAGATAAGAGGGAGGAAGAGAGAGATGGGATAAGAGGGGGAAGAGAGAGAGAGATTAGATGGGGAAGAGAGAGAGAGATTAGATGGGGAAGAGAGAGAGAGATTAGATGGGGAAGAGAGAGAGAGATTAGATGGGGAAGAGAGAGAGAGATTAGATGGGGAAGAGAGAGAGAGATTAGATGGGGAAGAGAGAGAGAGATTAGATGGGGAAGAGAGAGAGAGATGGGAGAAGAGATGGGATGAGGTAGAGAGAGAGAGAGAATGATCATGTAATGATAGTTACTCTATGATAGTTTCAAAGAAGATTCTCATGAAATAAATGAGTCTAGGAGCAGGCTTTAGATAGAGCTGAGGTAGGATAATAGCTCTTGCTTGTAGTTTCACTAGATACCTCACTCGACCGACCCAATGAACCCTTTTCTTAGTTTAAAATAGAGAGAGAGAAGGGGGGGGGAGAAGAGAGGGAGGTGGAAGATGAAGGGAGGATGGGGGGAGAGGGCGAGGGGCAGTATGTATGAGAGAGTGAGGGGGGGAAAGAGAGAGGGGAAAGAGGGAGGGGGGGGGTAAGAGAGAGAGAGGGTGAGTGTGCGTGTCGGTGAGTTTCAACACACTTCCCCTACACATACAGGACATAACTAGCCAACCTCTTGTAACGTTCAAAAGAGAACTCGATAAGCATCTTCAAAGGATACCGAAAACAACCAGCTGTAACTCAACAGCCTGGTAGATCAGACCAACAACCAGGAGGCCTGGTCAGAGACTGGGCCATGGGGACATTGATCCCAGTAACCTTCAGTTGGTAGTCAACAGGAGTGTGTTGAAAAATCTTGGGCCTTTAAATGTTGATAGTTCTCATAACATCATTATAATGTAATGGCTGACCAGACAGCGCTCTGGATTCATAGTCCTGAGGTTCTGGGCTCGATCCCCAGTGGAAGTTGGAACAAATGGGCAGAGTTTCATTCACCTTGATGCACCTGTTCACCTAGCAGTAAATATATACCTGGGAGATACAGCTGCTATAGGCTGCTTCCTGGGAGTTAGCCACTAAGCCCTCAAATCATCTCAAGATAATGTCAAGATAGTTACAGGATGAGAGCTATGCTCGTGGTGTCTAGTCTTCCCGGTACTTATCTTGAGGTTATCTTGAGATGATTTCGGGGCTTTTTAGTGTCCCCGCGGCCCGGTCCTCGACCAGGCCTCCACCCCCAGGAAGCAGCCCGTGACAGCTGACTAACACCCAGGTACCTATTTACTGCTAGGTAACAGGGGCATTCAGGGTGAAAGAAACTTTGCCCATTTGTTTCTGCCTCGTGCGGGAATCGAACCCGCGCCACAGAATTACGAGTCCTGCGCGCTATCCACCAGGCTACGAGGCCCCTATACTCTTTGTTGTATAACACTTTGAAACTGCCGACGGTTTTGTGCAACTGAGCTGAGCATTTCCCTTCAATTGATATTCCAGACATCCTTGTGTACAGAGATCTTGGCAGTTATATGGAAAACGGCAAACTTAAATAAAGCAAACTATATAAAAATCATAGCCTAGAATACTCTAAATTATTGACCTGTATAATTAACAAGCGTGTTAGTCAAAACGCTAGAAAAAAAATAGTTTAAACCAAATAGGAAGAACATCTGTTAAGTACAGTAATGACATAATATCAAACGTTCAGTATGGTTTTCGAACAGGAAGATCCTGTGTAACAAATCTACTTAGTTTTTATGATTGCAACAAAGATTCTACAGGAAAGAGATGGTTGGGTTGACTATCTATCTGGACCTAAAAAAAAGTATTTTGAGGTTGTTTTGGAAACGAACATGCTGGAGGGGTGACAGGGAGACTGAGACAAACATGGATGAAAATTGTTCGAAGTGACAGACAGATGAGGGGCGGTAATGAGAAGCAGTGTGTCTGACTGGAGGAGTATTACCAAAAGAGTACCACTATGCAGGCGATGAGTCACAATAACGTGGCTGAAGTATGTTGACCAGACCACACACTAGAAGTTGAAGGGACGACGACGTTTCGGTCCGTCCTGGACCATTCTCAAGTCGATGGAGGAAACGTCGTCGTCCCTTCAACTTCTAGTGTGTGGTCTGGTCAACAGAGTACCACTAGTTCAGTTCATGCACCAGTGATGATTGTTATTTACATAAGTGATCTACCAGAAGGAATACAGAATTACATGAACATGTTTGCGGATGATGCTAAGATACTGGGGAAGAGAGGAGAAGCAGACGATTGTCATGCCCTTCAAATGGATCTAGAAAAAATAAGTGCTTGGAGCAAGTGTCATGTGTCCATGGTCATTTGACAATGTGTCAAATGTAATTCATTGTGAATAAATGTCATGCTATCGAATGTGGAATAGGAGAAAATAGACCACACAACCTATAAATTATGTGGAAAGGAACTAAAGAACTCTAATAAAGAGATCTACAGGTGGTTTACGGTAGTAAACGGTCACCAGAGGGACACATCAAGAATACTGTGAGGAGCGTATGTGTCGCTTTCCAACTTCAGACTAGCTTTAACTTATATATATGGTGAACTACTGAAGAAACTGTTCATGTTCAGCCTCCGGAACTGAAAAACAAGAGTTACAAGGAGAGGCTTGAGGCGTTAAATATGCCAAAGCTAGGAAATGGAAGGAAGAGGTGATATGGTCACCGCATACAAAATAATAACAGGAATTGACCAAATTGACAAAGGAATTCCTGAAACCAGCAACATCAACAACAGAAGGACACAGATTCAAGCTAAGGAAACAGTACCAAAAAGATATTAGAAAGTTTTATTTTGCAAAGAGTGGTAGATGGAACAAGTTATGTTAGGTGGTCAATTAGGAAAGAAAACACCCCAGACCTTTTTACAAGCAACAAAGAACTGGTTAGGGACATAATGATTACAAATACTTGTTACTCGGATAACAACCTAATCAAAGTTGAGACAAGCATGGGGAATTAGACTTGTGCAGGCAGTCTCAAATCCAAGAGGAAGAGAATTCATCAAATTCAATTTTAATAACAGACTGCTTAAGAATGACCTCACAGAAATATGCTGGGAAGACCAACAAGATAATGCAAACTTAAATCAGTGCTTTGAGAAAACAACCACATAACCACTAGAAATATATAGAAGGAAAAAAAAAAAGAGATAATTTTTTTTTTAACTAGAACAAGAATTGCATTCCTTCAATAAGAAAAAAAAAAAAATTAGCAGAACTTCTCAAGCGCTCCCTACTAGTGGTGAAAACTCACTTAGCCGGTCGCTTTACTCACTCACTCACTCACTCACTCACTCACTCAGCTCACTCACTCAGCTCACTTTAGGAGCCAGGCGGCCGAGCGGACAGCACGCTGGACTTGTGGTCCTGGGTTCGATCCCAGGCGCCGGCGAGAAACAATTGGGCAGAGTTTCTTTCACCCTATGCCCCTGTTACCTAGCAGTAAAATAGGTACCTGGGTGTTAGTCAGCTGTCATGGGCTGCTTCCTGGGGGTGGAGGCCTGGTCGAGGACCGGGCCGCGGGGACGCTAAAAAGCCCCGAAATCATCTCAAGATAACCTCAAGATAGCCCAGCAAGACGTGTGGCCTTACGGCTGGGAGGACAACGCTCAGGGGTTGTGGTCCTAAGGGCCTGGATTCACTTCCTGGCCGAGGCATAAACAAATGGGCAGGTTTGATGATCCAGACAACTTCTTTAAGAATGACATTCAAGCTGCAGATAATATAATGGATATTAATATGAACTCGGAAGACTTTGAAAGAGAAATTGACAATATGCCCATGCACTCGGTTCCTGGTCCTGACTCGTGGAATTCAATATTCATAAAGAAATGTAAAGTTCCAGTAGTGCGAGGGCTCACTGTAATATGGAGAAAGAGCCTGGATACAGCGGAGATACCAGCTGCGCTTAAATCTGTAGATATAGCTCCTCTGCACAAGGGAGGGTAGTAGCAAAAAATTATAGACCAGTAGCATTAACATCTCACACAATAAAAGTTTTTGAAAGAGTGATTTGAATCAAATTTCTCAATTGCTAGATCACTGTCTACATAAACGATCTACCAGATGGAATACAGAATTATATGAACATGTTTGCTGATGATGCCAAGATAATACTGAAGATAAGACACTTAAATGATTGTCGTGCCCTTCAAGAAGACCTGGATGAAATAAGTGTGTGGAGC